TTTTTTTTTTTTTTTTTTTTTTTTTTTTTTTTTTTTTTTTTTTTTTTTTTTTTTTTTTTTTTTCTTCTTTCAACTAATCATTCGTGTTAATTTTGTATGGTTAGACAGAAATAAATTCTGTTAAGTGTATAGGAAGTATGAACCAAGAGGTATCGACCCATTTCCAGAAAGATATTGGGGCTCTCTCTCCCTTGCTTCTCGGCTTTCAAGATTGATGGGAGTTAAGGTTAGTTACCCGTCCTGTTATTTGCCTTGTTAGGACAGCAAGAAAGAAATCCCCATCTCCTCCATGAAGTTTGGTAATGATTCTGGAGTTGTCTGTGTTTTAAAGAGAATAGTTGTTGTTGATTTCAAGTAGGTTTGCAGATGGATTGTTGTCTGTTGTCTGTTGTCTGTGGTGGGTACAAAAGATATCCAACTAGGATAGTTGGTTTGTAGAAGTGACCACATTACCTAATCGAGTGGCAAGGGGAAGCATTTGTTTCCTGTACGAGAAAATCAAGTTTGGCTAGTTGTAGCCAAACGGATTGGAAGTAAGCGGTGGTCTGATCAGAGGTCAGTGGTTGACGAGCATTAGAGTAGGTTGTGACCTCGTGAGTGGTGCCCATCGAACTACGTGAAAGCTGAGAAAGACAAGTGCTACGATGTGATCAAGGAGGACAGTGCATCATCTAATAAACTAAAAAAAGTGTACATGACAGCCAAGTTAAGGTATAAGTAAGATTAGAGGCACGATGTCATCAAGAATGTCAGAGATACACTTTAAGAGGTCGAGTAGGATCTTGAACCATAACCATTTTGAAGTGTGAATGCATAAGAGACTTTATCTTAGCAAGTCGGAACCACCAATATTCTAGAGCATGCAAATGTATCCGATTTTGCAGGGTAGTGGAGCATGAAAAAGTTGTAGACGCATGGTGTCACGATCGTATTTTTTCAACTGTGTGGCGTCGTGATCTTAACACGCTCACAACAAGCCTTGAGGGAAACCCAAGCCCCATATATATCTTTTGCTCAAACTTTGTGGCTTCGTTAGACCTTAGGCGAGATTTGTTTTCGCCAACTAAACATCATTTGTGCAGAATCCAAGATTGTGCGATCACATACGCTACTTATGTGTGCATACTCAATCATTTGTGGCACAATTGACTCACCTTTGCACTAAGCCAAGTCATTCGTTTCAACCTTGCCTCTACTCGGGGCCAAGGTGATAAGGATCACAGTGTTCCAAATGTTTCAACGGGACCTATTACACGATCCAAGACCAAGAAGATTTAACAAGCATTTATTCTTCATCTACAAAATTGGATAGATTCGGTTCAACAATTATTCAAGTTAATTTGATTGAGAAATGACCATTTTGAGCTTCAGAAGTTATATTTGCATGATTGAAGTAACAGAGGAAGCGGTTGTAAATTGCATTTGATTGATAAGTTAGAAAACTTTATTTATTATTTTTAATTTCATAATTCTTGTAATGGGTAAAATGGTGGGAGTTATTGGTCAAATTGACTTCTTCTGAGATTTAAGCGGATCAAAAGTAAATTTTGGGACATTTTAAGAAATGAAAATTTCTTCTGTGGGACAAATTATTATGTAAAAGGCCGATGGTGAATGAATGAAATTGATATATCAATTTGAGACTTTCACCTTAGAAATTCGAGTATCATTGTGATTTCTAAGTTTTATGCAATTCTAGTGGTAGATTGCATCTGGGCGTAGAGTGATTCAATTTAGAATAAAGTTTCAAATCTTGCTTCTAGATCTTTGAACGTAAGCCGTAATCTAATTTCAGTCTTACAGGTTGATCCGAATATCCGAATTTTGTATAAGAAGATGTTAATTTCTTTGATTCAAGGGTTCTTCAACCAAAGTTTGGATCGTTAGGCTGAGAATTAGGGTTGTCTTATTAATTTGGTATAGAGTTGAGATCGTTGGATCGTTGGGTCGTTGGGCTGAGAATTAGGGTTGTTTTATTAATTTGGTATAGAGTTGAGATCGTTGGATCGTTGGGTCGTTGGGCTGAGAATTAAGATTGTCTTATCAATTTGGTATAGAGCCTTACATCTTTTGGATTAGGGATTGTTGGGCTGAGAATTAGGGTTGTCTTATTAATTTGGTATAGAGTTTGGATCGTTGGGCTGAGAATTAGGGTTGTCTTGTTAATTTGGTATAAAGTTTGGATTGTTGGGTTGAGAATTAGGGTTGTCTTATCAATTTGGTAGAGTCTTACATCTTCGGGATTTTGGTATAAAGTTTGGATCGTTGGGTTGAGAATTAGGGTTATCTTATCAATTTGGTAGAGTCTTACATCTTTGGGATTACGGTTGTCAGGTTACATCTTTGGGATTAGCGTTTGTCTTTATCAATTTGGTATCATAGCAGATTAGGGTTTGTCTTATGGGATTAGGGTTGCCAAGTTACATCTTTGGAATTAGGGTTTGTCTTATCAATTTGGTATCATAGCGGATTAGGGTTTGTCTTATCAATTTAGTATCAGAGCCTAGGTTACATCTTGGTGACCCATTCTAGGATTGATTTTATATTTCATTTATGTTATTGTAAACATCTTTTCTTCAAATCTGCTCATTTTTTCTTCATTGTTCATTTATTTTATTGCTGCCATTTCCACCATTTTTTGTCATCTTCTCACTTTGTTTCACTTTCTTTCGAAAGATCATACTTAGATCTTTAAAAAAAAAAAAAACAATCTTTATCATATTTGCTCGTGGTTATAAATCCTTGTCAATTTGAATTGGAGACTTATTCTAGAATTAATTTTATCTTTCATTTACGTCATTGTTTATCTTTTCTTCAAATATGTCCATTTATTTTCTTGGTGTCATTTCCACTCTTCTTTGTCATCTTCTCACCTTGTTATCATTTTCTTCTTCTCACTCTGAAAGATGACAAATATGCAGCTTTAATACCAAATTGACAAGGAATTGATAAGGCAACCCTAATCCTCCGCCCAACGATTCAAGCTTCTGTTGAAGCAAGAACCCTTGAATCAAAGAAATTAATACCTCCTTGTATAAAATTCGGATCAATCAAGAGGTAAGACTAGAATTAGATTACCTCTTACGATTCCATAATCCTCTGCCCAATGATCCAAGTTTTTGTTGAAGCAATAACCCTTGAATCAAAGAAATTAACACCTCCTTATACAAAATTCGGATCAACCAAGAGGTAAGACTAGAATTAGATTACCGATCAAAGATCTAGAAGTAAGATTTGGAACTTTGTTCTAAATTGAGTCACTCTACAATCGAACTTGACCAAGATTTGACTGAATGACTTAAATGCAATCTACCACAAGAATGACATGAAACTTAGAAATGGTAAAGATGATGTTTGGATTTCTAAGGGTGAAAGTCTCAATTTGAATCTTAATTTCATTCATTCATAATCTGCCTTTTATCTAATAATTTGTGGATATTTATAGTCTCCCCACAAAAAAAAAAACTTTCAATTCTTGAAATGCTAAGTTAGTGGCCAAAATTTGATCCTTATCCCACAAAAGAAGTCAATTTGCCCAATGTCTTCCACCCTTTTGCCCATTACCATAATTATGAAATTAAAAATAATAAAGAGAGTTTTCTAACAACTTATCAATCAAGTGCAGTTTATAGCGACTTCATCTACTACTTTAACCGTACAAATATTCACTTCTGATGCTCGAAATGGTCCTTCCTCAATCAAATTAACTTGCGTAGCACATGAAATAATTATTAAACCGAGTCAATCCAATAATTTTGTAGATGAAGAATGAATGCTTGTTGAATCCTTTTAGTCTTGGATCTTGTAATAGATTCAATTGGAACATTTGGAACACTATGATTCTTATCATAAGGTCTTTCAATGCAACATTGCATCCAACATCATCTTGGTTCCCAGTTAACATGGCATCATGTCTTGACATCATCCCAAGTCACGAGATGTAGGTGGCCATCGCAACTCACTCGTTCATGCCATCGAGAAGGGGCCCACATGTCGTTCATAATCGCGGGACATTCTGAACATCTATCCATTTGGGTTCAATCAAGGCATTGGCCCTCTCGTGCCCATGTCATATCATTTACAGATACCGTACTGGATAGCGGGTGCATAATCCAACCTCCGACACATGGACTAGGGCGCAATGTCGACACACACATGCCATCTGATACTGTCATTGAAAAACCTATTTCAAAGGAAGTCGCTCATCACACTCGTCTTAGAACGCTCGCCCTCAATGTGACAAATATATGTGCCACAGGGTAGCTCGCTAAAGTCACAGGGCTCAGGAGCGGTGGAAAACTGACACCATGCCTCCCTCTAAAGTATATTTTGAGACGTTTTCAAATTAGTTGGCATAGACATTTTCTTATTTTGTTCTTTTTAGTCTTGATAGTTAAATGTAATCATTCAATTTTCAATAGTTAAATGTAGTCACCATGCCACGTTGCTCACGTCGTTCGCATTGCATTGCTTGAAGTTATGTCTTGTTGCTACCCTCAAACACCAGCTGTTGTGACTGATGTTGACATCCTTGTCATCGTCGCCCACCGCTCACCATTGTTGTTGAAATCATCGTTTCGGGAGTAAAATGTTAGTTTTACGGACTTATTTTATTCAAATCTTAATTTTGATGCAACAGCTAATATAAATGTAGTAATTGAAACAATAAGATTTATTGTAATAGGAACGGTTGATTTTCGGATTTATTATATCTTATATAATTAATTGCTCGAGGTAAGGGACTTTCTTATTGAAATTCAAATTGTTTTACTTTCTAAACTACGGTTATATATGTATGTTATTGTAGGGTTATATGTTGTTTGTTATCCTGCCTTATTGGTCATGAAAACTATATGTTTTGGGACCTATATGATTTATGAATGCCAAGGAATGTGGAAAGGGTTACATGCTTATGCTTGTGTATGGAACAGTCAGCCACCAAAGGTCATGCGAGGTGATTGTTGATGACTATTTTTGTGGTAAAGGTTACACATTATATTTATCGAGTAGTCAGTCACTAATAGTCACTAAAGAGTGATTGTTGAAAATGATCTTTGGTGAATAGATTATACGTTATGTATTTCAGGTAATCAACCACTAGGGTCCTTCGATATTAATTGATTTTTGGTGAATAGATTATATGCTATGTGTTTCTCTTTAGTTTGTTGCTTAACTAGTTAGTTAAATTACATGTATTTAAAATTTCTTTAGATAGAGGTACTCCGACCATGATTTTACTTTAAATGTTTTCTAGCATTACATAACGTATCTGACTGGTACATGTATAGAAAGTCGAGTCGTTACATTTTTACTGTTATAATATAGTTTACTTTTTTCTTCAAAATTTTGATTACACATGCTCGTGACATATGATATACATGAAGTCCAACGAAAACCAATAAAAAAACGAGCACCTATCATATCGTGATATATGCATCCATACAAAGTATATTGGGAAGTATTCATGCTTGCGACATACAATATGCATGTAGTCTCATAATTTCAAATTATGGTACATGGTTATGAGGCATAACTATTTGTCATCGAGTGTTATGTCTCAGTCATCCATAATTAATTATCACAATAGCATATGTCAATCATATAACTCTAGAAAAGCTTAAATAACTCTGACATAGAAAGAAACTCACTCAGCTCAATTGAATCGAACTAAAACAACTAAAACAGGGAAAACCCGAAGTTGGATTTAAAAAAATCATTAAATTGAGCTGGAATCAGACAAACCGAATTAGACCAATCAAGACAAAAACCGAATTGAATTGAACTAAAATGCTTTGAATCGATCTAGGTTGAACCCATTTGAACTAATCTAACTTCAAATCAACTTTAATTGATTTAGACATATACTCTTAATTAAGAGATTCTAACATAGACATATACTCTTAATTAATAGATTTTGACACGTTGAACTAAAAAACATAAATATTTTTAATTAATATGTGAAATTTAATTTAAGGAATATAATATTCAAAATCATAGAGAAAACTTTGGCTTTATTAGGAGTGTTCATATAACTTAATAACTCGACCAATCCAAACTATGAGTTGATTTTTTTTTTTTTTAAAGTTTAGGTTGTACTGAACTAGTAGGAAACAAAAAAAAAAAAAAAAAATTGGGGTAAGTATGAGAGTTGACATTTTTTTTATCCTATTAATTCAACTAACTCAAAATAAAGTTAAACTCAACTCTAGACTTTTAAAATTATTATGATTAAAAATATTTAATGTTCGTAACTGATGTTAGTGGCGTGTTGTGACTTGTGAATGTTTGATATTTGAGATTTACGAGGCTTTAGTTAATAATAATAATAAAATAATACGACAATCAAACTCAACTCGAGAATAAAGAGTTAGGTCGTAAACTCTATTCAAACTAATCGGGTCGCAAATTTAACCGACCCGATCCAATTTGGTTTGTGTACAAATGAGGTGGGATGTTATAAGAAGAGTAATATAGAAAGGGGAAGGGGGACACCCAAATATAAGGGCAATTCCAAGTGCGTTGTGAAAGATATATATAGATATATATATATAGGCATGGAAGAAGAGGCAGTGAAGGACAATGGTTAAATCCAAGATTCTTATGCCCACAGCTATAAAGAATACACTCGACGCGGACATCACAAGGGGCAAAGGGCCCCAACCCTTCTCCATTCTCCAATCCAACATCCAAAAAACCTGATTTCAACAATTCTTTTGTCGCTATAAACCCTAAATCTCCATTCCCAATTTCATCCCACGTCCATGAATTCCTCGCAATTCACTTCTTACGCAATTCTCCATGGATTCCGCTACTCAAATTCTCAAGAAAGAGCACAAAACCTTCGTTAGACGACGATTACCGCCAACCCCACTACCGCCGCCGCCGCCTTCTCTTTCTTCTTCCTCTTCGCCTCCTCTCAACCCAACTCTACCGGTCAAGCCCTCAGCCCCTTGTCCGGTAAAGAAAACTCGGGATTTGCCTAATTTTTCGGAATGTCATGCTTGTGGCTTTCGTGTTGACGCCGTTGACGGTCGTTCCAGGCTTAATTCTCTCTACAGCGAGTGGCGGATTGTTCTTCTTTGTAAGAAGTGCTTCTCTCTTGTCGAATCTTCTCAGGTTTGTTCTTACTGTTTTGCTGACTCGAGAGGCGACTCTTTTAATTGCTCTGAGTGTAACCGTCGGGTTCATCGGGAGTGTTTTTCCCTGTATAGTAGAGTTGCTCCCTGGTCGTACTCCTCTTCGGGTTCTGAGTTTTCTGTGTGTATTGATTGTTGGGTTCCTAAACCAATTGTGACAGCGAGGGCGGTTTTGAGAAGTAGGAAAATTAGGAGGAAGAATATCAATGTTTCGGATTTGCGGAGTTCTAAGGTTTCAACTAGCGGAAACTGCAAATCATTCAGTTCATTAGTGAAGGATGCAAATTGTTTGGCGGATAAGAATGTTGATGCTGCGGTTAGAGGTAGGGAACATGCGCTGAAAAAGGCTGCTGTGGTTAGGAGGGCTTCTGAGTTGGCTAGCGATGCCTTAAATTTGGTTGCCCAAAGGGATGAAACTGCTGCCAAAGAGTCTGGGGAATCTGCTGACGATGCCGAGTTGGCAATTCAGTTGCACCGGGCTATGAATAGTTCTCCAAGGTTATCCAAGAATTTTTGTTCGGCAAATTCGAACTACATGGCTTTTGAGAATACAAGGGTGGTGGATGATGGGGACACATCAATAGGAGAACTGTGTAGTGAGGAGTTTGATTTCTTTAAAACCCCACAAGTTTTGATTAATAACAGTTTATGCAATTCTCCTGACAATGCTGCTTCTGAGCCTTCAGTCACGGCTAAAGATCATGTCGCACCGTTAGAAATTAATCGTTTAGAATCCATGGGAAACAATCCTATACCGGCGAAGGGCAATGGTTGCTCGGTAAAGTGTGATACTGAGTCTGAGAATGTGGAATTGTCTCCTAAAGAAGATCTGAGGAGCAGGTCAATTGAATTAATGAGTGCCGGTTGCAACCATGATAGATTATGCTCTGAAGATAAGTACACTCTACCCAGGGATGAGAGATGCATTGCAAAGCCTTATCACTATTTCTTCAAGTATAAGAGGAGAGATACAACGAAACGCTATCTGTTGAAGTATAGCAAGAGAAAATCAAGACTGAAGAGAATGCCTGATTGCAAACCTAAAATTCTTGTTGATGGAATGTGCTTGGGTGTTCCATCTTCCTCTGCAGCAATTCTAATTAGTACGGAGAAATTTCCAGTTATTTCAAATGCCTCATTTGGCTGCTGTGCTGTTCCTTTGCAAGCTTCTAGCCTGGGAGTGCATGCAGTTCAAGAAATCAGTGACCAAGGAGGCAGGTAATCCTCATGCTTTTTTCTGCAGCTGATTATTTGAGGTTTCCTTTATACCGTCTAGCATGCACTATAGTATGAACTGACAACTTTTGGAGGTAGTATTTAAATGAAAAATCTATGGATAATGTAATGACCTGATTTTCGATACCTTGAATCACAGGTTGCCATGTACAATCAAGGGTTAAAAGGGCGGTAAAATTTTCTTTTGTAAAACGGGAGACACAAAGAATTTAAAATTTAAAGATGTATTCAAAATCAACATAAAAGTAGTTTAAAGGTAATTTCTTGGGAGTCAAATCAAAACAGTTCATAAAAAAAATACATAAGTTTTGAGAAGTAGCATTTAAAATAATAATAAAATGACAAGACGAAAGACGACTTGATCTAAAGGGCACCCCTTGCAACAGTGGTTTTCACTCCATCTGAAAAAAAAAAAAAAAAAAAAAAAAAAAAAAAAAAAAAAAAAAAAAAAAAAAAAAAAAAAAAAAAAAAAAAAAAAAAAAAAAAAAAAAAAAAAAAAAAAAAAAAAAAAAAAAAAAAAAAAAAAAAAAAAAAAAAAAAAAAAAAAAAA